CTGCTCAGGTCCCTTCCGACCCTAGAAACTATGAAATGATGAATAATTATTACTGATTTATGTAAAAGATTACATCCTAAAACCCTGCCACATTTAGAGAGTTTCTAACTCTCTCAGCAAATGTGGCTCCATTGCACAGACAGTATTTGGAACAAGTTAAGAGTTCAGGGAGAATTTATGGAGGCCAAATATAATTAACCTTCCTGGAATTTGATCATAACAATTGGACTAACATCCCCAAACCTATGAAGAGTGCCAGGGGGCCTTGAACTGATAAAATGAAAGGCTCTGTACTCTGCTGCTGCCCCGAAGACACTTTCTGCATAGCAACCTCAGCACTGTACGCACCAGGCCAAGCACTTTTTAGCACTGAATTTTTATGGCATGAAGTCATGCCGTCTCAGCCTATGATCTAGTCAGGTCTTAAATGCTATAATAAGTAGCTTGTCTAAGCAATCAGAAGAGGATGTAAATACTTTACAGCCAAATCCTGGCTCTTTCCTTATTCATCCTCTCCTTCCTCTGGTTTTATTATGTATACTTGTAACTTTTTACAAGCGAGATGGTAAATTGGATCTGGCAGTTTTCTTTAAACCGATACAAAATATATAATAAATTAATTAGCCAGTAACCCCCATTTAACATTATTGTCTAGTGGTGATGTTTTGGTTTTGCTTTCTTTACAGCTGCTCAGCTGCTACTGTAAAAAACATAACAAGAGACAAACATCAGACACGCAAGGCTAGACTGCAATCTTACCATCTGCTCCGAGTGAGGGGCAAGCCACAGCTGCACTGCCCTGGGAGATAGCAGAGAATGAATTGTGATTCAGAATCCACCCCTCTCCCGATTCCCTCTTGCCGGGGAATGGAAAAGTAGAGACAGAAGGCAGGTTAAATGAACCTTTGGTGGAACAGCATCTGATGAACAGTTCTGGCCAGTGCTATATCCAACCCTTTTGCTAACAAGCTTGAGACTGGGCAGGTGGGGAGAAAACAGGTTCAGATCAGAGGGGACAGAATACAAAGCATCAAGTTAGTGCAAGGGAAAACAAAACTAAAAGCACACTCCCCTCTGAAACCTGAAGCTGAACAAGGTTTCCAAGTTCAACGTTGT